TTCTTTCTTTGCGTGCACATTTGGGCGGCGTTATGCAAATCTTCCCACATAGTGATGTAGACATGTGGGGGCGTGTTAGATCGAGCTGTTTTAGGTAGGTGTGGCGGACTCTGAGCTTTTATAAAGAATATCTTCGGATTTGAGACTTTAGTCTTTGTAACTTTACAGATCTTCTTTATGCACCAAGAGCTTGTAACACTCCAAAGAGAAAGGAAAAATTGAAATCGCATCATATGACCCCTAAATCAAATTTATGCTTTAAAAGTAGGGTAATCAATTTTCACCCATAGTCTGTCCGTTTAAGCGTCTGCGTTTAGCTTCAAATGTTATATAAAAATTATTTGCATTCCGATTCTGACATCCAAAGGCACAACAATACATTTTTTCTCTTATTTCATGGATTTTACTCATTTCCCTCCACTTGTTCCCAGTGTTTTTCTGCCACCACTATGCGCGCGCAGCTGTGACGTCTATAGTCGTATTGCAGATGAGCCACTGTTAGCACACGTACATCACGGAGACGTCTATTTAACATCTGCAAGATGTATTTTTTAGAGTGTTTGCTCACCCAGGTCCCTTATGAGACTCTCTCGGTCCCTCAGGTCTTAATGGATTAGTTTCTCCACCAGCCACATTATTGGCTTTCGTTACTCTTCCACTTTGTCTTTCAGTCTATGCTCCAGTAATTTATGGGTCTTTTTTACATGCAATTTATTAGCAGTCCAACAGTAACCTTTGCTATTCAACAATTCAGCCTCTCAGAACGTTGTTTTTTCATCAGCTTTGGAATGAATTAAATTTGCAATTCACATGCAGGAGCAATATTTTATGCTTGGCCACTTTCCTGCACTACTTGTGTTCAAAATATTCAGATTGGACTATGGTTCTTACTGTAATCAGGTTGTTTCCTATGTGCAAACTTTAACTGGTTAGTTGCCTCTTCGTTTTTATTAAAGCACACAGGTTCTGAGCAGAAATTCATCAAGGACATGACTGTTGGAATTATAGTTGTGGGTGACCAAAGTGAGTACCATCAATCTGCAGTGATGTGGTAATGGTAATAGAAGAAGAAATCTTGGTGATTTGGCATTGTAACACGTTGTGTACTGCGTTAGACTATCCGGGACTTGCCACAGCACTTAAAGGCAAAACTGTTTGATTTTTATTTTTTGCTCTGTGTTTTAATGTTTTCATTCAAGCAGTTTTTTTCAGTCATTTACACACACACACCTACACCTACCTTATTGTAAAGTGTTACCAAATAGTTTAAGTATCATATCAGATTTGTATGTCTCATATAGTATGCTATTAGGCAATGTGGAGCTCACTCTTGAGGAGGAAAAACATTGATGCACGTGAGGAGTGAAGGCTAGCCTGTCTGGTCAGATCACACAGAAGAGCTACTGTAGCTCAAATTGATGAAAAACGTGTTAATCATGTTAAGCAATGTTAAAAAAAAAAAAAGTTGACCATCATTGAAAGTCACATTTTCTTTTAAACCAGGTGAAGCTGTGTCCTTTACCTGGGGAAGAGATGGCAGCATGCAGGACACACTATGGGAAGAATGTTGGATACTCAAAAATCAAGTATAAGAGAGAAACAACTCAGAAAATTGCTTAAAGAAAGTTGGAGAAGTAGAACAAGCATGTGAAGTAACAATCACAAAACCTGTCATCATCAGATCTTTACAGTCTCATAGGAGCATGATATATATATATAAACGTGAGTGGGTTTCGGTGAGCAAGTCCCACGTCACATTTGCCATAATGGTCATAATTTTGGCTAAGAAAATCAGTAGGAGCTTTACTGTCAAAACAAGAGTTTGAAGGCAAAGATATGAGACATTCGTCCGCGGACACTCCCTTTTTTTAGTGCTAGACAGACTATTGTTAGTGCTTCATTTACATTCACAAAAACAAACATTTAAACCTTTTTATAAAGCATTTTTATTTGCCATTTCAAAAAATGGTACTTTAGGTAATTTAGGTTCATTAATGTAACA